ATATGCCAAAACACGAGCTAAGATTAATAATATCAACAAGCCTGCACCAGGGATTTAGCTCAGTGGTGCCACGGCCTGACTCGCAAGTACAAGGTCCTGAGTTCGATCCTCGGTACCAAAAACAAAAAAAAGCATGAAAAATGGGATAGGGAACTAGAGGAGGAAGAAAGGAGGGGGAGGGAAGAGAAAGGGGATTAAAAAAAAGAGACATGCTATAATATGTACATGTAACCACTTCCCAAGACAATTGTAAACTACATGAACCGCAACATGTACAAATAAAATTTTTAAAATTTAAAAAAGAAATATATAATTATATTCACCAAAACAAAAAAGAAAAACCCAGCCTCTTCTCTCTTCTCTCCATTGTTCCTTCTTCCTCCTTTTCTCTCTCCCACTTAATTCTGCCTATATTTCATGGCTTGTGTCTAGATGTCCCTCCAAAGCCTCACGTGGTCATAGCTGGGGCTTTTTCAGAGGTGGCTGAATCTAGAATGTGTGATGCTGGGATTAAGGGTGTGTGATTACTAAATCAGTCCACTGATTAGTTTGGCACCACTCTAATCCCAGTAGCCAGACAGAGTATAAAAGGGGCAGAAAGAAGCTGCTAAGGTCCCTTGCTTGCTTTGCTACCTTCTGCCCACCATGAACTGTTTCTCCTCTGTGATGTCCCTTTGCCGTGCCACCCTGCCTTGGAGCCAGCCAACTATGGGCTAAAACCTGTACAAACTGTGAGCTAAATAAACCTTTCCTCCTTTAACTTTGGATGTCAGGTATTTTGTCTCAGCAAGGAGAAAGGTAAGATGCTATATTGAAAAAAAGAGAGAGAAAGAAAGAAGAAAGTATCAAAATGTTTAAAAATTCAGAGAGGGTATTGTTTCAAAAAGCTATTATTTCAAGTATATGTCTACATATGGCTTTGTTATGTGGAAATATTTCTCCCTTTGGGTCACAGGCAAAGTAGTGTGAAAAAGAGGTCAAGCAGTGCCCCTAAGCATTTGCATTCCATCTCCACCTGGCTGGAGCTACTCCTCCCTCCCCGCAGAGTTCACACTGAACACCCATTGTACCCAAGGGAAGAAGAGGGGAAAAAAGGCTATGCTTCTTACATTTGTATTGTTAAAACTCTGAATCAAGGACATTTCCAAAACCAAGATGAATTCTCCCCTTCAGGGAAAATTAACTACTACTTTTTCTTTTTGGCACTGGGGCTGGAACCTAGGACCTTGTGAATGTGAAGCACGTGCCCTACAACAGTCTTAGAGCCCCATGCTGGCCTGTTAAAATGATCTTGCCACCATTACTGTAACAAATACCTTTCACATTCACTGCTTGCAAAGCTCTAAATCCCTTACATGGAGGGACTTATTTAATGGTTATGACCACCCTATATGCTTAGTACCACTACTACCCTGATTTTCCCTAAAAGGTTAGATGCTTCCACCAATAGTAAACATCTGGGCCAGAATAAATCCAGGTGATCTGGTTCCACAGCCCAAGATACCGTCTCCACTGTCATCAGTGCTTTACAGTTTCCACATGGCTTCACTTGACTCACTATGAGCTGGCCAGTGAAATCAGTGCAAAGCCCACTTCATACTTGCTGAAATGAGGTCTGAGCATCTCCCAGCCTTCCACCAGGGTCCCCAGGCTCTGTCACCTAGGAACCATGGCTTCTCGTGGAGGACATTTAGTGTGGAGCGCATACATCTGCCATGCTGCTGAGGGAGGAGGCACTGCCAAGGTCAAGTTCTATGAGCACCTCTTCCTGTCCTCCTGGGAGGGAAAAGGACTCTCCCTGTGCCTTCAGGGTCAGGGGGCAGTCAAGAGAATGAGCACTTTCTGCAGTGGCTCCCACCGCTGAGGGGCCCAGAGCACCACCCTGGCATGCCAAGAAGCTTTCAGCTTCACTGCTGCAGTTGGAGTCGGGGTCCATGGCTAGTCTTCAGAGTAGTCAGAGCACCGCCCCCCCCCCCCCGCCTCACCACCCTGTCCCTCTTCTACCAGAGTGCATACCATACCTCATGCAATCAGTGCTGTCCACTCAAGTGAGGGATGGAACTGGCAGTGAGAGAACCCTTCTCATCTGGTTCACCAGCCTTTGTGTAGTTGGATGACTTAGGTACATGCAGTGAAATGATGGGGATTTATAGAACGGATTTCTTTTTTGTTTTTTTTTCAGTACCAGGGATTGAACTCAGGACCTTGCACTTGCTAGGTAGGCATGGCGCCACTGAGCTACATCCCTGGTCCTATAGAATGGATTTCTAATGGGCCTTTTACTTTTTATATCATCTCACTTGCTCCTAAGACTTGCCACATTTTAAGTCTATTGTTCTGTGTGGCTTAGACACTCCTGGAATCATCTTGCTCTGCTCTGAGTCCTGGGAATGTCTCCAGTAAAAACTATGCTGCATCCTCAGAGCCTGCCCTGGCTCCAAGGACATGGGCTGGGGATCTACCTGCAGAGGAGACAGACTCTCCGTCTCAGATGCCAGCCTTTCTCCATGTCCTCTCTCTTCCTTCTCCTACAGATTCTATCAATTTTAAGGGAGAAAATACATCATAATACAAGGAACCTTTAAAGACAGAATTGCCCTTCAATCAAGAATTCTCATTTTGCTAGATGAACAGAGCTTTCAAGAGGCAAAATGTCAGCTGCAAGAAGGTGGCTGCAGAAGAGCTCCCAACAGCATCACTGTATTTCCATAATAGCCTGGAGGTGTCACTTCATCACCCCTATAACCTCCAGAGACTCATGGGCTTCCCATTTCCCCTCAGTTCCAGGGAATGTGAAAGCTTGAGAGGCTCAGAAATTCAAAACAAATTCTATACAAGATTAAAGCAAACAGAATAGAAATAAATAAAATACAAAGCCCATGAAATAATATTGTTCTTGGCCAAGTGTGGTGGCACATGCCTGTAATCCCAGCACTCAGGAGGCTGAGGCAGGCAGATTACTACAAGTTCAAGGCCAGCCTGGCCTACACGGTGAGTTCAAGGCCAGCCTGAACTACACAGCAAGACCCTGTCTCAAAAAACAAAACAAAACAATATGGTTCTTGTGTGGAGGATCACACAGTGAACTCTATTTCCCATCCCAAAGAAGATGGAAGGCCAGAAGATAAGAGATTTCAATTTGTCCTATGGCACAAAAGGCCATTATAAGACGGATGTGTCAGCTGGGCATGGTGGCATATGCCTTTGCCTCTTTTTGTTGTTGTTGTTTTGTTTTTTTTAAGTCAAGGTCTTACTATGTAGTTCAGGCTGGCCTTGAACTTTACTGTAGCCCAGGCTGGCTTCAAACTCTTGGCAATCCTCCTGCCTCAGCCTCCCAAATGCTGTGATTACAGGTGTATGCCACCATGCCCAACTCTGGCATATGTCTTGAATCCTAGCATTCTGGAAGACTGAGGCAGGAGGATCACAAGTTCAAGGTCAGCCTGGGCAACCTAGCAAGACCTTGTCTCAAAATAAAACATAAAAGGCCAGGTGGGTGATGGGGATATAATCCAGTGGAAAGGCCCTAGGTCCAACCCCCAGTACCAAAAAAAAAAAGTGAAGGGTCTTGGGTGGCCCAGAGACAGGCACAGGAAAGGCCTGGCATGGAAGGCTTTTGCCAATTTGTCCTTTAATTTACCTTTTGCTCTGAGCAGTGCTGCTATGACAAACATATTCCATTAATAGATATTTCTGACCCACATAAAAACTAGCAGATGCATTATTAATGTTGTTTAAATACAGTCAACAGGACAAAGAAAGCTCCTCTCTGTGGGAAGATTCTCACAGCATCAGTAAGTCATCTTTTTTATTTTCTTTCTTTCTTTCTTTCTTTTCTTTTTTGATACAAGATCTCCTATGTAGTTCAGGCTGGCCTTGAACTCACTGTGTAGCCCAGGCTGGCCTCAAACTTGATCTGCCTGCCTCAGCCTCCTGAGTGCTGGGATTATAGGCAAGCGCCACCATGCCTAGCACCCATAACTCATCTTAACAGATGGCTTGGTATTTATTACTTAGCTCCCAATATCTGACCTGAGGAAAAATCACCAAGGTATTAACCACTTAAGAACAACAGAGTTGAATTTTAGTTCACAGGGCACCAAAAAAGATAAAGATTTGAACTGGAGTCAATCAAACCCACAAGGCAATGACAGCTTGGTTCATCTCAGAGCAAAACTCTTCTTGTTCTTCCTCCTGCTCCATGCAGTGTGTCCCCTAATAACTTGCATAGTTTCTCAGGTCTATCCCTTGCTTCATTCACAGGACTGGCATGAGACTTCATCCTCATATAAATTACCCAGAGTTCCCTTACACAATTCTTAGGCAGACGCTTATACAATACACTGTTCCTACCTCTCTTTCCAGACTCATTCCCCATAATGCACCCTTGGCCTCAGTCAGATGTACATAGGTGCTTTATCACATCCTGCATTTCCCAACCTCCATGCCACTGTCCAGGGTGATCTCAGACCTTTACACTTCATGTCCTGGCTTGCAGGTATCTGCACCTTCTCTACATTCCCACAGGGCAGGATCTGAATAATTTAAGGAATCCTAGCACCCTTAATCGTAGCACTGCACCATGAGTCAATCACCTTAACTTGTGCTGTAAGGTTTTTATCATGTTCTTCAGAGAGGTCTTCATTTATGAACATAAATTTTTTTTGTCTGTCTTTGTTTTCCTCTGTCAAATTTTCTCTGTCTTTACTATAGACAGAGAAAAATAAAGGTCATAAATGAAGACCTCTGAAAATAAAGGTCCTCATTAAGACCTCTCTGAAAAACATGATAAATCTTGTAGCCGAGTGTCTTTTTTCACCTCATCAAATAGAGAAATGCTGTATTTCCAAGTAAGAAGACAATATTGTAAAGATACCAATTTTTCCCAACTTAACTTGTACACTCAAACCCCAAACAGTTTCTTGTAGAAATCTGAAAAGCTGATACTAAAATATATCTGAAACAATACCATCAATTTTTTTAAATATACAAATGAAAACTTGGCCTGAGACATCAAAATTTACTGCAAATCATAAAGAATATTTGCATATTTAAGGCACAATTGTAAAGAAAGCCATTTAATTTTAGTATCAAATGTTTCCCAGATTTCCTTTTTTAACAATGTACAGACACTTTTTAGGACAATGTATAATTAAAAAACAATATTCTCCAATTTACTCAATGCTGTTCTAGATCATCCTAAGAAAAAAGTAAGCAGGACAACACCAAAGTTCTAGAAGTTCAAGGATCCCAATGGATGAAGATGTGGATCCTAATTTTCTTCTGTGAGCAGATCGTCTGCTTTCAGCTGGGCCCTCCTCATGCTCTCCAAGTTCAGCTGTTGATATTTTCTTTTAAAAAAGCCACACTGAAATAAAGGGAGGGGAACCCCAATTAAAGAACAGCCATCTGTTTTAGAAAACCATCATCCTGACTGTTGCATAAATAGCCTGTAGACTCCTGTTTCTCATATTTCTTTCTTTCTTTTTTTTTTTTGTGCCGGGGATCAAACTCGGGACCTTGCGCTTGCGAGGCAGGCGCCGGACCCACTGAGCTAAATCCCCGGGCCTATTTCTCAAATTTCTACTCCCTCCCCCTACCCTCCTCTGAGTCTCTCCCTGGAAGTCAATCGTTTCAGATCCCTCTTCAATGCTATCTTTCTAGGTGCTTATTCCCCAATCAGAACTAACTTCCCAGGTTACTCTGAACTCCCAGAGGACTTGAACCTTTTTAACCTTACTAATTCTGCAAAGTAGTATAGTTCTGGCTATAGTGGATATAATCTTATTTATGTAGGAATACTCAGTATTGGCTACCATGCTGAGCATAGAAAGAGATCGAGTACGGTCTCCTACATCAAGAAGCTCAGAATGTAGTGGGAAGGGGAATAATTACAGTACAGTGTAACTGCCACTTGGAAAGGTTTCCAGAAAGGAGCTCATAGGACAAGCATACAACCCAACCCAGAGGATCCAGGAGTCTCTACATTGAGTTTTCAGGGAAGAGTGTGAATGAGGTGAAAAACTGGGGAGGGAGACTCTTGGCAAAGGGGAGTAGCCTGTATACAAGCAAAAAGGCTGAACATATTTAGGGAATCATTCAACTTGTCTGGAGGAAAGAGTAAATCTTAAGGATGGAGAGGAGAAGGGTACAGACCAGAGAGTAGAGGATCTTTTGAGATATGGGAAGAGAAGAAAAGGATTTTTTCTTTTGGTACCGGGTATCAAGCTCAGGACCTTGCACTTGTGAGGCAGGCAGCTGAACCACTGAGCTAAATCCCAGGCCAAGAAAAGGATTTTAAAAAGGAAACATCATAGATCTGTTTTAGGAAGATCTCTCTGTACTACAACACTTCAACTGGACTTTTGTATTTTTCAGACAGAAAACTGAGTTACTCATTTGCCTAGGTGTA